TCCCCCATCAACCTCTGCTTGGAGAGTAGGGGGAGGGGTCGAATGGTGCAGAATCCAACTATTAAAAGCATTTTTATTTCGTCTTATTGTTGCGTCATTGAATCATTGACCATCGTTCATTAGATAATGTTACCTGCAGTAGCACCACACCAAACATGGGGAATGTTTAACATAAGTTAGAAGCCACCAACAGAGAAGATATCGTTCTTCAGTAATCTCGACATGGAAGAATTCAAACGTATGGCGTCAACAGTTGATTGTGACGGACGAAACATTCGTGGAGTGTTCTGCAGAAGTTGGTTTCAGACAAAATGTGAAGCATGCCAGGGGAAGGAAGAGGTTATCGACTCACTGACTCCCTGTCCTACCTTCTGACTACACATATATCGAAGAATATTGTCTGTAACGAGTTAAGGACTAAGTGTGTTTTAGTTGCCTTTTACATGAGCTATGCGTCTTTCTTTTAGAAACAACAACCCTGGGGTGAAAGTTTTACATTAACCAGGATGCATGATATGGAATCAAGTTGTTCTTCATGGCCGGCAACAAGTCATTTTGGGTATATCTTCTTCTTTCGTTGTTCAAATTGCAGACACATATTTTTAGCTATACCCTCGCGACGAACCGATATGAAAAATCATACCGCTATCATTATGTCTGGTAGAAAATACTACTAAAGCAGAGTTCTGCGGTATTTAGTACGTCTTTTAGTCGCACGCCTCTTTTTACACTCGGCAACTTGCACTACATCTGCTTGAAGATAAGACAGCGCGTCGAAACAGCAGAGTTCACGTTTTCTCACCCTTATGTCGACCAATCTATCACTTCTAATGACTTCCAATTCACACCTTACGATTTTCACACGTGAAAAGAGCAGTGTTACCGTCCCGTGTGTGGGTCTTCCCGCCCTGGCTGCGTTATCTTGTCTTGTCCCACACCTGAACATCTGTCGTTAGATGCCGCACATGGCGAAGACGGTCTGCCTGTGCCCACACAGACGCCTCAAGACGTTACCCTGTCTCTTGGAGGAACGCCAAGATATGTAGGATATAGAGTCGGGTTTCCTCCTTGCTCGAGGGGGATGGGGGATATCATCCAACTGGGGACGATCACAAAGTCAAAGTAACTCGTGGGATATCGATCTGCCTTGAAGAAGAAAAGTTACGCGTCCCTTCCGTAGGCTATGGGAAACTCCCCGGCCTGCTAGCTACCCTGGCAACTTGTTCAGGGGCCTCGCAGTCTGGTAGTATCTGATAGAAACTACTAGTAGCCTTACGGCGCCAATTGTGACCATAGATGACTGTCCCATGTCTGATGTTTTGACCACCCCTCCTACTGTAGTGAATGGAATATCCCAAGACGTCTTGTGTACGACTCGTGATAGTGGCATCAAAATAAACAAAGAATTGCTTGCGTCATGATAGAAAAGAAACATTTGGTGGGGCAGTAGATGCTACTAACAAGAACATATAAGAAGTACAGTATTTTGTGTTATTTTCTCACAATTTTGTTTGAGCAAGGAGCTTCTTGGTTTGAGGTCTTCCACAGGGCACATTGAAATAATACAAATTACGTATTTTACAGTCTAGAAAACGTAGGGGTTTTCATCTGCTTGGAAATAGAGGACCCCCACCTCCCGACTTCCGAAGCGTGCGGTCTTGACTGTGTCAGCGGCGACCCGTGAGACAAGGTGAGACAGGTTGTCACGTACGAAGGCCCACAACGACACTTCCACAGCGCGCTTCCAATGTACCTTCCATAGCGCGATTCTGCGAACCTTCCACAGCGCGATTCTGCGAATCTTCCACAGCGCGATTCTGCGAGCCTTCCACAGCGCGATTCTGCGAATCTTCCACAGCGC